GGACCAGAGTGGGCTTGAATCACAAATCTTCCCAAAAATATTTGAGATGTGCAAAACTGCTTTGCTCATTTGCAGCCTTTTCCATGAAAACACCCAGGAGCTCTGTGTAGCATTAAACTAAGTTCTTTTCTAGTGGTTTGCACACATTTTTACAAACTGAAAGAATCATATGAAGAATGGATGCCATAGAAACTCCAGTGAAAGGCTCACTCCTTCCTAAAAAAAACTTCCACAGACACCAATCTCAGAACCATATGCACAGATTCATGGTGACATTCATAATCAGCCAGCAATGCAAGTGCGTATCACCAGAGCTATAATCCTGTGTGATCCTTAAAACGATGTGACATTCATCTTGGGTTAATCAAGTTAAACTGCCTACTAGCTGCGAGCCATTTACTTGATGAAACACAGTAGATTTTAACTGCACCACACAGGAAAAAGAAAAAGGACAATAGTTCAGACCTCACTGGAGCTGCTACCCCTGGAAAAGGTGGCCATGAAAGTTGCCACAGGGTTATTGACACAGTAAATATGCAGCTATCACACAAAATGTGGTAGAGCTGGTGTTTGTTTTACTGTCAGGCTCATAGTGCTAGATAACCGTGACAGAGGGGTTGAGGAAAGAACATTGCTACAATGCCTTGGGTACAACAACACTAAATCGACACCAATGAGAGATAGTTGTTAGATTTCCCTTATCCCCTGCCAAGTTTTTCCATTACGTGTTTTCTTCAGCAAAAGATCTTTTCTACAAGGAAAGTTAAAACCCTTGTTTGTTGTGTGGGTGTACCTACTATTGAACTTCAACATTTTGGTCACGACAAAGGGAAGGGTTTGTTTTAAGTGGAAGAAATAGCCATGTTCATATAGTGAAAACTCCATTGAAACTGCCTCTCCAATTTAACTAATCTAAGAGTGTTCCTCCAAAAAGCTTTAGCCCTCATTGACAGAAGGCTACTGTTCTGTTGTGTGGAGGCTGAGAGGAGTAGATACTGCTGCCATTGATTCTTGCTGTTCTGAAGTCTTCAGAGGGGACATTATTTCCATGTGTCTGCCTAGGGAAAGTCTGTATGGCAGGGATCTCCACAGAGACCCATCAAAATACAGTTGTCTTATCCTTATGGTGGCTATCTCATGGGACTGTGAGTGAGGGCAGTTGGGTTCCACTTTTAACTCTGCCACTGACCCATTGTGTGACCTCAGCCTCATCATTTTACTTTTCTGTGCCTCAATTCCCCAAGGATAAAATGAATATATACTGATTTGAAAGGTGTGTTGAGTGCTATCCTTGGAAAATACCATTTATAATCCAAGTATTCTTGCAAGCTGTTTCAGTGATTTTGGGGCAGAGAAGGACTGAGAAGAGGAGGGAAATAAGATAAAAATTATCTCCCTTCACATGAAAAAGAATCATAAAACCAAATATAAACTGATACAAACCTTCCCAGAGTATAAACAATGTTACATATGTCTCTGTCTTTAAAAAAGGTGCAGGCAATTTCTACTATTCTGTAATTTGATCTATGGAAAACTTTATTCAGGACTTTCTAGCATTTGTGTGATAAAAATAACATTAACATTTCATGAAATGCATCCCAGGATACTCAAGGAGCTGATAGAGGAGGTATCTGAGCCTTTAGCTATGATCTTTGAAAAATCATAGCAGACAGGGGAGATTCCAGAAGACTGGAAAAGGGCAAATATTGTGCCCATCTATAAAAAGGGGAATAAGAACAACCCAGGAAACTACAGACCGGTCAGTTTAACGTCTGTCCCAGGGAAGATAATGGAGCAGGTAATTAAGGAAATCATATGCAAACACTTGGAAGGTAATAAAGTGATAGGGAATAGCTAGCATGGGTTTGTGAAGAACAAGTCATGCCAAACTAATCTGATAGCTTTCTTTGATAAGATAACGAGCCTTGTGGATAAGGGAGAAGCGGTGGATGTCATATACCTAGACTTTAGTAAGGCATTTGATACGGTCTCGCATGATATTCTTATTGATAAACTAGGCAAATATAACTTAGATAGGGCCACGATAAGGTGGGTGCATAATTGGCTGGATAACCGTAGTCAGAGAGTTGTTGTTAACGGTTCTAAATCCTGCTGGAAAGCGATAACAAGTGGAGTTCCTCAAGGGTCTGTTTTGGGACCCGTACTGTTCAATATCTTCATCAATGATGTAGATATTGGGATAGAGAGTACGCTTATTAAGTTTGCAGATCATACCAAACTGGGTGGGGTTGCAACTTCTTTGGAGGATAGGGACATAATTCAAAATGACCTTAGCAAGTTAGAGAAATGGTCAGAGGTAAACAGGATGAGGTTTAATAAAGAGAAATGCAAAGTGCTCCACTTAGGAAGGAACAATCAGTTCCATACATACAAGATGGGAAGCGACTGTCTAGGAAGGAGCATGGCGGAAAGGGATCTAGGGGTCATAGTGGACCACAAGTTGAATATGAGTCAACAGTGTGATGCTGTTGCAAAAAAAGCAAATATGATTCTAGGTTGTATCAACAGGTGTGTTGTAAGCAAAACTCGTGAAGTCATTCTGCCGCTCTACTCTGCACTAGTTAGGCTTCAGCTGGAGTACTGTGTCCAGTTCTGGGCGCCACATTTCAAGAAAAATGTGGAGAAATTGGAAAGGGTACAGAGAAGAGCAACAAGAATGATTAAAGGTTTAGAGAACATGACCTATGAAGCCAGGCTTCATGAACTGGGCTTGTTTAGTTTGGAAAAAAGAAGATTAAGGGGGGACATGATAGCGGTTTTCAAATATCTAAAAGGGTGTCACAAGGAGGAAGGAGAAAATTTGTTCCTCTTGGTTTCTGAGGACAGGACAAGGAGTAATGGGCTTAAAGTGCAGCAGGGGAGGTTTAGATTGGACATTAGGAAAAAATTCCTAACTGTCAGGGTGGTCAAATATTGGAATAAATTGCCAAGGGAGGTGGTGGAATCTCTCTCTCTGGAGATATTTAAGAACAGGTTAGATAGACATCTGTCAGGGATGGTGTAGACGGAGCTTGGTCCTGCCTTGAGGGCGGGGGGCTGGACTCGATGACCTCTCGAGGTCCCTTCCAGTCCTATTATTCTATGATTCTATGATTCTATGAAATGGGTTCTTCAATCTGAAAAAGTCATTTCTTCAGGAGCATATTGATTTTGATGACATTTTCTAAGTGTTTAGATGATGCTATTCAAATTAATTTTTTTAATAAATTTGAAAGTCAGAATGAAATCTTTATCAAAACTTAGCATTCTGAATGACCCAAAGTAATGTTTTCAGAAAATTCCTTTTTGCAGAAAATGTCAAAGATTGTTGTTGTGTTCCAAACTGGAAAATAAACAGTTTTTTTTAATCTCAAAATTTTTCATGGAATGGAAATTCCTGTTTCAGAACAGTCCTAAATGTCATTAATTATGTAAAATCATCTGTGACAGAGCCACAGCTAGTGCCATTGGCATTCAAATCAATGGTGACCATTCACACCAGCTGAGCATTTGCCCCACAGAACATATATAGGATTAATCCTAAACACCCATATGACCTCATTGCTCAATATGGGTGCATATAAAGACCAGTCAACATTGGTAATGGTGAGCTATGGTTCCACATCTTGGCCAGTATTCTCTTAGTCAGTGCTTTTGCTATGGTCATCTCAGCTGAGTTTAGGTCTTGATCACTGAACTTAATGGAAAGACTCCCTCTGAGTTCAGTTGAAATTTTGCATAGGAAAGGAAACCAAGGATGGCGCCACAGCAACCAGTTAAGATAAAGCATATAAAATGGGCAAATATTTACATTGGCAGATGAAAAGGGATCAAATTTATCGCAAGAATGTACAGATTAATCAAGTTTACACTACACTGGTTCCATGTTTAGCATTGTAATTTTCACAAGAACTTTGTCTACCACAAAAGAGGCTATGCATGGTTCAGAAGCAACCCCAGTTCGCTTCCTGTGTAATGGCATAAGTAAGGCGAAATCCATGTTTAAGGCTATGTCTACACTACAGCTTATGTCAATATAATTTATGTAACAAAAGGGTATTAATAAACTCCTCCCCTGAGTGATACAAGTTACGCTGACATTGGTGTGCACAGTACTATGTTATTGGCAGAGCTTTTCTCATTGACGGAGCCACTCCTACTTGCAGGGGCTGGAGCAGTTACACCAAAGGGTGAACCCTCTCTCATCAACTTACAGTGGCTACATTAAAAAGCCTACCTCAAGGCAGCTGTGCCATTGAAAAAGCTCTAGTGTAGCCAAGTTCTTAGTGTTTGATAACCACTCACTCACCTTTGAACCTGCCCAGAGACCTTGAGAAACAAACTCAAATTTGAAAGACCAATGATCGCCAATCCTAACTGGGATAATAGCAAAAGGAAGTCAGGGAGTTAGTTGCGTCACTGACAATTGCTAGGTCTTGCATTACAGTTTAAATTCTGATCTAGAAGAGAATATTTAGATAGGGACCTCATGTGTTCCAAGACATTAAAAATGCCACTATTTATGGGAGTAAGTTAATAGACCAGATAGGTGGAAAAATCTTTTCTAGTCAACTAGTGATAAAAAGAAAAGCCACATGAAAGTCTTAACATTTAAACAAGAAATTCAAACCAGTGTTTTATGCACTGCATGTTGGGGACAACAATCCTGGTTTATAAAATATCTGTTCTTTATGAGTAGAAAGCATATCAACTTTAGGTCACATAAAAACGAAAGTGATGAAACATGCAGTCTCATCTAGGGTCATGGAGATTAATCCCAAGAATAGGCCCATTTTAAGTATAAATATGGGACTGAAAATTTCTAATTAGAATAGAATAATGTTCTGTGTCACATGGGTTGTCATATCTATGCTTAGAAAGCTAAGGTGTAATCCTGGCCTTACAAAGTCAATGGGAGTTTTGCCATTGAGTTCACTGTGGCCAGATTTCACCCATGGGTTTTATAATGTGTTATAACTCTGCTTTCCAGATGTTCTTACCCCTGGCATAATTATCCTTTCAACGTCTTTAAAGACATCCTCAAAGCTCTCAGGTTCCTGAGGTGCAGAGTCTGGAATGAGGGGTCTCAGGTATCCCGGTTCCACATTAGGATAGACCTGTCTCTTTTCTAGCTGCTCGTAGTAATCTGCAATGTA